CCCTCCTCTCCCCATCCCCATCCCTCTCCCTCCCCCCCCTCTCTCTCTAGCAAGAAACTGCACAGTGTAACACAGCTAATGATCTTTTGTTTAACATTTCACTTTTTGTTTAACATTAGCAAACAACAAAGATGTGTAATGATTCACTGTGTCATCTGTGTCTCTTGCTGAAAAGCACATTATTATATCATGAATCAAGGTAAACATTACAAAAGTGAACAAATTTACTACGTATTGTTGTAAATAAAATTATAAATATTTTAGTAAATATATTCACTTACTTTTACTCGCGACTGCTGTAACCGCAGAGTAGTAAAAAACTAGGAAGTATAATAATGCGTTTCATCAAGATCGATTTGTTATTATTAAAGATCGATTTGTTATTATTAAAGATCGGTTTGTTCTTATTAAAGATCTCCACAATTACAACATATTTTCTTATTAACTTTTAATAACTAAACAGACTTCTACATAAATTTTCACCTCATCTTAAGATGGATCGACATGGATCGACTCCTGTTCTTTATTCCCTGTTCCCTATTCATTTCGTTAATTACGCGCAGCTCCCTTCGCGTTTTATTCTCGCAGAAAAAACTGTAAGCCTAGATCTCGCGAATAAACAGTTTTTCGCGCTTCCCTCCCGTCGAGGATGACGCTTTAAAGGTGATTAATGCGACGCGTTTAAGATATTGTCTCGTTCGAGAATCCCAGCGATTCTTCCGCTATTGGCGCATATATCGTAAAGCTGATTTTTTTTCATTCAATGCTAATGCTGATTAATTTTCACTTAATGGGCGCTAAAACGCGTTCCATTCGCGCCGCGAGTTTTTCGCTCTCTCAAGAGTCACGTTATTTCAAGCGGCCATCTGCGCCCCGCGGGGAGACCCGAGACTGTTCCAGCTTGTGCTTGACGCCTCATGCCGTACAAGTGTTTATCTGTCAATGCGATAACTGCGGACGCGACACTTTGAACGATCGTTAAAATTCCATCAATTTGTCACCGCTTCAGGATATGCAAACGAGACCTTCAACTAATAATATGCAATGGGATACGCAAAAATGTACGTGTATAAAATTTACGCGAGAGCCGTTTGGAGCCCAAGGGACACACAAAAGTCAACAAAAAATCACAATGATTTTATTTCGATACACAAACGTTAATAACGTTAAGTGAAATTTTGTAATAAAGAATCATTATATTGACTTTCATGACGCGTCAAAATAGAATTATTTTACCTTTCTTTCGATTTAATTCTTGGGGGAAGGATCGGCTGGAACGGGTTGAAAGGAGTGAAAGAGAGAGAGGGTTATGTTGACGTGGTAAAAAATCGAGAGGCCCAGACACGCGCTAGGCAGATGATAAGGATCCTTGTTGAAGCAGCCGTGAACTTCGCACCGTGAGAGGAGTTCGCTTTGCTTAACGAGTTCCCGCGCTTCAAGACAATGAAGTACATTGCGTGCGTATTCCTTTCCTCCTCTTTCCCTCTGCCGTTCACTATCCCGCTCGTCTCCTCTTACCGCTACTTGTGTAGTATTCATAATACAGTGAGAAGGGAAGTGTTTTATCGTAATTTGTTATTGCAGCCGCCGCCGTTAATCCGCCGCGTCGTCCGAGAAGTTCAAGATTAACTTTTTTCTTGTTATCTTGTATATTAGTCGAATGGCTCTTCTCTCTGCCGATCGATTTGACTTCTTCATGGCACGTCTCATGCATTTAAACGGTTGCTAATCTGATGTTATTATTCAATAATGTTTTTGTCACATCTATAGTTTTTTACAAAATAATTTTATCATGCCTTTAATTTCTTCTCGTTTTTTGTCTGATATCTGTTTCCATCAATGTAGATTAATCTCGGTTTAATTTGCTCTTCACTTTTTTTTAGTTTTAAGAATTAAAAAAAGGTGAAGAGCATAGTACAGACTTTTTTAAATTCCAAATTCGATAACAGTGACATCTTTCATTCATTCTTATACTTATTATATATCGTTGTGTCTCGCTCAAACGCATTCATTTGTCCTTATCTAACATATTGCAACGCCATCTTTTAGAAAGAGATCAACTAAAATATTGCTTGGTGTTTCATGGATTCACGTCAATTTCATTCGTAATATACAAACGAAATTTTCGGCGACTCTTTTCTCTTATACTAAAGCCCCTACCTCGTTTCTAAAAGCATAGGATTGTTCTTTCAGGTTTTCTGCAGTTCGCCAGCTACTTTTTATGAACGTGCAAGATCTGAAACTTTTACATGCAACACATATACTCGTATATATTGTGACGTGTCGACTAAAGAAGCCGATAACAAAACTATAAATTTGTAATTTTCTTTCGTTTTTCGTATTCAATTGTAGCTGACGAATTGCGTTGTGTTGTCGATACTTAAATTATGGAGAAGGACTTTTCAACCCATAAACACAATTAAGAGAAAAGAGTCTTTAATAATTAATGGTAATAAATGAAATACCATTGAGCTCTCGAAATATTAACAAAAATAATGAATAACGCAATAAATGTCGGGCGATTGATGTAAGAGTTTTGTGAATACATTTTTCTTGTTACACGCACTTGATAACTGCGTCTTTCTTTAGCTCTCAATCGCCCGACATTTATTATATTATATATGTTATTCATTATTTTTGTTAATTAATGGTAAAACAGGACACTCCAGCATTCCCTTAAACCAAGATTAAAGTTAATCTATATTCCCCGTGAAAAGACGACTCATTGAATTAAGGGAATGCTGGACTGTCCTGTTTTATCATTAATTTTTAAAGACTCTTTTCTCTTAATTGTGTTTATGGATT